CTCTCCCTACCCCCAAAACCCACCCCTCTTCCTAACTTCCCTATCCATTGGAGTACACCATCATCCTAGTGGTCATGCAGGTCTGAGACCTTGTAGCCCTCTCCTTCACCACACAGAGCCCCTTACTTGCTAGATCTCATCCACTCTGCCTCCACATCACCTGCATCCATCCTCTCCCCTCCACCTGCACTTATCACCTCCCCTCTAGACTCTGCCATAGCCACTTCACTGGTCTCCCAGCCTTTAGCCTCTCCTTTCTCCAATCTAATCTCCACACAATTGCCAAAGTGATATTTTTAAAGCACAAGTCTCCACCACGTCACCACCCTGATCTGGAAGCTTCAGCTGGCTCCCTATCACTAACCACCGGAATCCAATACAAGTTCTTGTCTGGCATTCAAAGCCCTTCAACCCACTTTTATCAGTTTATTCCATATTACTTACTTGCATGCATTCTTTGATCCAGCTAAGCTAGCCTTCTTTCTGTTCCTCACATACAACACTCCATGTCCCGTATCTCCATAACTTTGTACAGGCTATCCCCCCTGTGCAAAGCTTACACTCCATCTTCTTATGAAGTCTTTCCTGAATGCCTCCTCCTTCCAGCTAATAGTATCCCCCCAAAAAAATTACCTTGTATTTACTTTTGTGTATTTTGCATATGTTATGTGTACACATATCTTTGTGGACAAAATGTAATGTTCTACAGGGCAGGGACTATAGTTCATTTCTGTTTCTGTATCTCCAATGCCCGGCATGTAACAGTTACTTTAAAATAGTTACTTTATTGATTTACTGGATCTTAGTACCTGACAAAATAAAATAGAAACGTCTCATCCTAACATTCTGGAGTCCCTACCATACCTTTCTGGTCATCTCATGCTATACCCCTTTACAAATTCCACACTGTGGCTAAACTCATAATCCTGGATTTCCTCTGGACTCTGCCCCTCAGAACAAGGCCTGAACTGCCCACCACCTCCCAATTCTTCCTCCTAGTTGAAAAGAGCTTCCACCCTGCCAGGAACTCCACAAGTGATCACTGAAGGGATTCTATGAAGGAAATGCAGGGGAAAGGTGAGGCAGCTGACTGGAACAGGACTTGGATTGCTGGCCCATATGGCCATATCTAGAGAATTCTGTTCTGTCCTGCATATCCAAGAGAGGAAGCATGACAGGCTGAAGGACAAACAGCAGAACTGTCAAGCAGGCCACATGAAAACTGGCCGAAGTAACTAAGGACGCTCGGCCCAGAGAAGAGAAGACACAACTGCCATCTTCAGCATATGAAGGGCTGTCAGAAGAGGGATGAAATTTGCTCTCCTTGGCTCTAAAACTAGATGTAATGAGAAGTGGAAGGTAATCAGATTTGGCTCCACGTAAGGAAGACCTTCCAGAAAAGGAAAGCTGTCCCATGAGACTGCCTTGGAAGGCAAAGTGCCTGAACACAGGGTACACTGAAGACCCTCCGTTGGGAATGGCATGCAGAGGATTTCTGCATTATATGAGAAAGTGGGCAACAGGAGGCTCAGATAACTCCTTGATTGTACATCACCCACCTTCTAATCCCAGGTCTTTCACTTCTATTGGCTCATTCCTTATACCCTTCAAGCAGCCTTCAAGGGTCAACCTAGTTGCCCCCTCCTCCATAAAACCTCTCCTAAGCCCCCACAACTGAAAAGAATCTCTCCCTCCTCAAATTTCTTATAGCCTAGATCCCTCTCCATTGAACTTACAATCCAAATAAACCTTCCCCACAGCACCCCACCCACCCCTTTAGACTGCAAGCTGTACAAAAGCAGGAAACGCTTCTTGTCAACTTTTGTATCCTCGGTACACCTAGTAGATACCTTGCACTGCAACAAACATCTACTGAATTGAATGCCACGTTTTCCCATGAGGAGCACTTATCATCAGAGAGGAAGTGGAAAGAAAGCTCAAGCTGAGGGCAGGACTTGGGAGTCACTGCACCTGTGTTTAAATCACATCTCTACTTCTCATTACCTGGGTGACCTTGGGCAAGACACTGAATATCCCTGGGTCTCAGTTTCCTCATCTGTAAAATAAAGGGCTTGGACCCAATGACCTCTAGGGTACCTTCTAACTTTAGACATGAAAGTCTAAACATAGAAAGTCTAGACATGAAGTCTAACTTTAGACTTTGTGTTTGTCAACACAAAGTATGACTGTGGCTCCCATGTAGTGACCCATTCCCTTTTTGGAGCAAGAGAATCTTTAGCATGCATCACCAGCAAGCAGAGATCCAAAAGATTCTCCACTATACTGCACATACATAACATATAGTAATATACAATGGGGCAATCCACACAAGCACACAACTAGGTCGTTAGCAAGCTTTAGTCTACACGAGGGAGAAGTCAAAGAAACTTGACATAAACCAAGATGGAAAGACCTTAAAAAGGGATGGCTTCCAATGGGGAGACACCGAATATAGATAGATTTTGGCTTGATGTAAGGAAAAACTTTCTAACAAATCAGAGCTATCCCAAAGATGGGATGAGATGACTGGGTAAGGAATATGTTCTCCCTCACTCTCTGGGTTCCCTTCTCCTTTGTCTTCAAACAAAGGCTAGATGCCTACCTGTTGGCTATATCAGAGAGGAGATTGCCATAGAGATAGAACTAGATGATTCTGTGAATCTGACTCTTTACACTCATTTCTGGGGACACAAAAAAAAATAGCATCAGAGCAGCAAGGACCAAGGGCATTCATTCTGTTGGGTTCTACAGGAAGACTCCATGGTATGCAAGTTGGATTGCAGTTTGGGGAGAGTAGCCTCCTAGCGTCAATGTACCTTTAATTGCTCTGTTCATGGTACAAAAAAGGAAACTGAGGCCTAGAAAGTTTAGAAACTGTTTCCACCATGTCTTCATTTTCCATAGCATGAAACACTAAATATGAATATTCAGGAAAAGATGAAGTTGTTTGGTAAAGTTGGAAGGGGTCATCTTTTGGAAAGTTTGGGGAAAAAAAGCTTTTTCTGAGAGATACTTGTGCCAAAAAGACACACCTTAGTGCTGGTTGTTATTTGCACCCACCGGAAAGGGTTGCTACATTTAACCTGAGCTCAGTTGCATTTTCCATGTCTTACTTAGTGGGTCTCAGGTCTACCCATTAGGCAATATCAGAACAGATTCCGGCTGAGCTGAGATTAGATCAGATGTGGTACACAGTCCTGGGGTGAGAAGGGTGGAGACGATTCCAATCCACCCCCACACCGGACACGCAAAGCCGCAGTGACACTCTATGCTAAAAACCTGTCTGCGAAGCACTGGTTTTATAAGCAACTTTTCATGTCTGTGCTAGAGGCTGGGATAAAGAGGGTAGAGGTGGTAGGTAACAAGGGGTGGGGACACCACCACCAAAGCCCCAGAAAAAGAAAAAGAATGGGGGCAAGGGTTTGGAGAAAATTCATATTGACACCTTTAAAACAAAGAAAAGCTAGATTTCTCAATATTATAAGATTAGTCTAGTGTCCCAAAAATTAAAAAATTATATATGTTAATTAAGACAGGATAAAAACAACACACTATCACATCTGTATTTACTCATCACATCTGTATTTATTCATCACCTGTTGATGGCAGGCTCTTTCAAGACATGATCTCCTTTCAAGGACAAGTGTTTTGCCCATTATAAATAAAAAAAAAACTGAGGCCCAGAGAGAAAAATGACAAGCATCATATTATGCAACATGAATCCAGAACACAGTTCTCTGGACTGTCAGGCAGGCCCAGTTTTATCAACTCCACCCATCAGAACATCTGTTCTTCCCCACCTAACCTAAAAAGGTTAAATGGGAAAGATCCACAAGCTGAGCTGGAACTGAGGAAGGGGTTCAGAACCTGAAGGAGCACCAGCCACCATGGAAAAAAGGGTGTGGCTAAAAAAATTTGTTTTTGACAACCTAACCTATACTGCTCTTGCCTCTGTAGCCATCACTGGCAGAGAACTGGAGAATTTGAAGCTGAATAAGACATACATACCAAACCTAAAAGGCAGCTAAATAGGGCAGTGGATAGTGCCAGGACTGAAATCAGCAACACTCATCTGTGTGAGTTCAAATCTAGCCTCAGACCCTTATGACTGTGTGATCCTGGGCAAGTCACTTAACCCTCTTTGTCTCAGTTCCTCAACTGCAAAATGAGCTGGAGAAGGAAATGGCAAACGACTGCAGTATCTTTGCCAAGAAAACCCCAAATGGGGTCATGAAGAGTCAGATGTGACTGAAACGACTCAACAATCACCACCACTACTAAAGCTAAGCAGGAACCACCATCCCTGCTGACCATTAATATCCAAATGAAATGAAAGCTAACCACAGAAAATATGGGAGAAAAATCAGAGGCCCAAACATAAAAGAAGAGTGAACCTAGGGACAAAGGAAATACCCAGCACCGTTTCTCTACTATCTAATTCTATGCATTTAGGTGCATAGAATGAAGATCTTCGAGTCAGGAAAACCCAAGTTCAAATCTGCCTCCAATACTTACTAGCTGGGTGAACCCTCAGCAAATATATCACTTGGCCTCTCAGCCTCAGGATCCTCATCTATAAAATGGGGCACACCTACCACACATGGTTGTTGTGTGAGCAAATGAGCTAACATATATGCTTTTGTTGTTGTTCAGTCATTTTCAGTTGTATCCAACTCTTCATGACTCCATGCAGAGTTTTCTTGGCAAAGATACTGGAATGGTTTGCCATTTCCTTCTCCAACTCATTTAACAGATGAGGACACTAAGGTAAACAGGGTTAAGTGACTTGCCCAGGTTCACACAGCTAGGAAGTGTCTGACGCCAGACTTGAACTCAAGGAGATGAGTGTTCCTGACTCCAGGCCCAGTACTCTCTATATGCTAGCTATGATTAGCTACTCTCCCCTCGGTGTGTGTCCCCCTCACTCTAGGCTAAAAAGATGAACTGGTCCTTACAGGGCCAGGAGGGATGCTGGAAGAGGAGAAAGCATGTAAGCCTACCTGTGCTGCTCCACAGCGTCATTGTCGGGAAGTTCAACCCCACAGACACTGCACTGCTCCCCCATGGCCCGGTTCTCAGTCTTCATGCCCACAGCCAACTCGCCCAGTTTGCTAAAGAGCTCCCTCTGGATGAAGCCCTGGGGCAGTAGCCCACCATAGGTGCTAAAGTCCATGGAGACAGCCAGTGCTGCTGGCTGCATGTGCAGGGTTGAGGTCATGGAGGACGGCACACTCAGTACCGAGTCCGCCTTGTGATTGGGAAGAACGGAATAGATGCCCAGGTGCTTCTCAGCCGAGGCAACGGAGTGCTCAGGCCGACCAGGAGGGCCCTGGCTGGCTTCAGCAGGGAGCACCGGCGGCTCTATACTCTCCTCCCGTCCATAGTGCAGCTCCCGAGCGCTGGTGATAACACTGCTCCTAGTGGGGGTCCCAGGACCATCCTTGCTCCTCTCCTCAGCCTTGTCCCCACCCCCACCTGAGGTGCTGGACTCAGCTGCCCCCGGGCTGTCCTGACCAGGCACTTCATCCACCTGCATCATCTCAGTCTTTACCTCTGCCACCCCAGGGTGCCGCCCAACAGTGGCTAAGCTAGACTCATCCGGCACCCCAGGTGGCTGCAGGGCTCCCTGGAGGAGAGACTGTCCGATGCTCATCAAGCTATCCACAGCAGCCTTGGTGGGACTCATGGCTGCCAGGCCAAAAGAAGTGGACACAGAAGGGTTCTGCTCTGCCACGGCTCCAGGGAGGTGCTGCCCAGCCACGCCGGCGTACCCACTGTCCTCGATGGAATGCTTTGAGATAAAGATATTTTTGAGGTACCTGGCCTTTCGGTCCTCTTCCTCCTCAGCACCACCATCTGCCATGGTGGTCTCTGTGTCATTGTCATCCGAGGCCTGGATGGTCTCCAGAATCTTCAGACATTGTTCTTCCAGGTACTCAATCTCCAGGATCTCCGCTGCATAGAGCAGGTCATCCAAGTCCTCAGCCTTAGCTTGGAGGGTGGCTGTGTAGGCATACTCCAGGATCTGCTGGAAGGTCTTTGGCGACAGGAAATCCAAGGTGTAGTGCTGGCTGTTTCGGTGAAAAAGGATCTCAAACATCTTGCTGGTACAGGCCAGGACTGTGCGGTGAGCATGGAACTCTTGACTGTCCACCATGATGACCACATCACACAGAGTCCCTGCCAACCGCATCTGGTTGGCTTTGCACAGCAGCCCCGTGGGGTGGCTGGGGTTCTGCAACTGGATCATGCCCATCTTTGTCAGATCCATGGCACTGTCCGGGGCTTAGGCATGAGGCTGTCTTTCCTTCTGGTCTCTGTGTGTTAGGGCAGGATGGCCTTGCAGGGTCAGCTAGACAGAAAGGCCTGAAGGAAGAGGAAAAAGAACAATAAGAGGGAAAGGAGAGGGAACCAAGAGATTAATCTATAGTCCCTAGAAAGGAAGAAATTCTGAAAAAAAAATTTTCTGAGCAAGAAAATCTTAGTACATAGTAGGTGCTTAATTGATTAATTGATTATTAATTGATTGATTGATTGAAGTCTAGAAATATAAGGGTTTTGAATTTGCAGAGGTTTGGGATCTTTTCCTTTTTTTTTTCTTTCTTACAGGAAACCTGCTTTAAAAAGGCCAAAGTTGGTGGGAAGGAAGAAAAGGTTATTTTGCCTTCACTCCTTTTCCACCCCTTAAGCAGGTTTACTCTGTCAGATATTGCACCAACTGCTATATAACAAGAGTGAAAATCAATGTAAATTCTGTGGCTGGGGGTAGGGGGCTTTTTTAAAATGCTTAGTTGAGAGGAGTGGCATTATCTTCCACAGTCACATCCAGAGATGATATCACTCATACACAAATCCTGAAAAACAGCAAGTATTTAGTCCCTCCTTTTATTCAGCACAGATAACCACACAGGAGCTAAGATTTTCCTCCCCAGCTTCCGTAGGGGAAGCCCTCCAAGTTCCAGGACAGACCAAAGTCTCATCCTCCCATTCTTCAGTGTGGCAGCCCCAGGGCAAAGTCCATGAGAGCTAAGGGCAGGTCCCTGCAAGAGGCCAACCTGTGAATGGCTGCTGCTCTCCTCCCTACATCCCTTATCATGATCAGCCAGCTAGGGTCCAGCTCTGCCTCCAATGCACATCCTTTAATTTTGAATTCCTGCCTCCTCCCTCACCCCTAGGCTAACCCTCACCATCTCTGAAGCAGCTAGATGTCATAGTAGTATAGAATGCTGGACTTGGTTGGGATCAGGAAGATCTGAATTTGAATCCAGCTTCAGATAGTAGCTGTGTGACCTTGTACACTTAATCACTTATTTTCTACTAGCCTCATCTTCCTCATCCTTAAAGTGGAGCTAATAATAGTACCTACTTCCCAGGGCTGTTTCAAGGATAAAATGAAATAATAACTGCAAAGTGCTTAACACTGTGCCTGGCACCGAGTAAGTGCTATATAAATGGTAGCTATTATTATGATGATGATGATGATGATGACGATGATGATGATGATTATTATTATTATTCAGTGTCTGGCAGGAACATTTCAGGAAGCTAGAGCAGGGAGGTATGGTTTATTTAGTATAACATACCAGGAATACATTCTGTAGCTGTATGCGTTTGCAATACACGTAGTAGACAGATGCCTACAGAATAATAACTACTCACATTTATGTACCTCTTTATAAATTGCTTTACGTACAACATCAGTAGGCAAGGCAAGTAGTTATCCCCATTTTTCAGATAAGGAAACTGGGCCTCAAAGAGGTGAAATGACTTAAATTCAACTCAATTCAATATGAACATTTATTATGCCCCTCCCATATACAAGGCAGGGGAAGGAGAAAAAAAAGATTTACCCAAAGTCACTCAGCAGAAGACAAAGCATTGTGTGTATACAATACCACAGATCTATGATAGGAGACTGTGAAAGAAGTGTATGGATAGGTCACATAAACAGAATGTGATCAGCATGAGATATCAGTGGCATGGCCAAGAGGGAGTTTCTAAAGTACATATGCTGTATCCTGTGACCCAGGATGTCTAACCTGAGATAAAGTTTGTTCCATGGGACAGGGTTTAGAAATTTGGGCACTGGTTATGACAGCAAAATAATCCATGACCTAGAGGTACTGTAAATCTATCTACCACTGAAGTAAAACCAAAAAGAGGGGGAGATGAGAGATAAGGACTACTCAGGGTCATTAGCAGAGCACCTTGGTTTCCCAGATTCACTTAAGTGGCGGTGGGAATGGTGAAAAGCCCCCTCTCTCTTACCCCCCTCACACCCAGCTGTTGGCAATAACTGACTGAACTGGAGAGAGGCAAGGAGGAAGGACACTCCCCTCACACACACACTCGGAAAAATCTAAGGCCCCAAGGAAATTGAACCCGAAGAGGGGGTTGGGAGGTGGGGAGTGGTAAATCTGTCCAGCAAGACTGAAGGGGTTAATAAGTCAGCTATTCCTTTTTAAGGTACCTCTGTGGCCCTTAACCAAGTGGAAGGGGTGGAGGAAGCTTAAAGTATAATAGAAAGCCTCCCTGAAAAGACAGGGCTCCCCAATGATTTAGGGGTTTGACTGAGGAGGGAGTTATTTGGTGGCTCAGTTTCCTAATCTCTCTCCTCCTAACAGACCCATTCTCTAAAAGAAAGAAAACACAACAGAGAGTACCCCAGTGCCTGTTCTTCAACCTACATTTCTGCACCCAAAACTGGCCTCTGAACTGAACACTGGGGACTGGAGAAAGGTAGTGTTAACACCCAACTAAGGGAAAGAGCAGCAGAATCTCATACGACCTCCCCCCCCCCAGTTTCAACCCTAGAAAAACCCATGGAAGACTTAGAAGTGACTTTAGGAAACTTGGGGAATCAACTTTTCTCAGCGAGCTGGAAACCATAAGGAAGGAGAATGCTGAGCTGAGGAAAAGAGAAAAACGAAAGACCCAAGGGAGGGAAATTGAGTCCCAGCCGATTGGACACAGAAGCTCTAGCCATCTGAGGGAAAGGGGAGGGAGAAGGACGGAAGATGAAAAGAAAAACACAAAAGCCACCCTCCCCCTGAAAAGCCAACAAGGGGTCTGCAGCCATCATCTCCCCGCCCCCCTGCAGTGAAATGGGTGGTTGGGAGTAGGGTAGGGGATGATTAGAGTCGACTAGAAACCCCAGTATCTAGCCAAACGAGTGTCTGCAACAAACATACACAGCCGGAGAGCCAGCGTGAGGGCTAAGTGTGAGAGTGCGTGTCTTTATGTGAGTGTGATCATTAAAGTGCCTGCGTTTGTGTGTGAATCCGAGTGTCTAAGCGTGAGAGAATAGACGGGTGCCTGTCGGCGTGAGAGTGTCTTGTGTGAGTGAGCGTGCCTGTGCGTGAGTGTGAGACAAGGCATCCCAAATGCATCAGGTGCAGCGCCGCCGGCACAACCCCCCCTGCGGCCGGTTGAGAGCGTACGGAGTGCTCGAGCTCCGCGGCCAGTCCCGCCGGGAGGACAGGGGAAAAGAAACGGGCTCCCGAGAGAGAGACACACACATGTACACAGAGCCCTGGTCACTCCACGCCCCCGCCCCCGAAAAAAAAAATCAAGTCACGGCAAGAAAAATAAATCCTCACGTTTTTGTTTTCTTCCCCAAAAGAAACAAAACCGAAACGCGTCCTCATCCTCACTCCCCTCCCAATACATCCACTCCCGGCCCCCAGATCCTAGCTGCCCAGCCGGCCACTAAATAAATACACGAATAAATAACCACAATCCTATTTCGCTCCCGCGCACCCGTCGGCATACATATGAGCCCTGACCGGCTCCCGGCTCGCCGCCTTCCCCTGACCATACAAAGCCTCCCCCACCGCTAGCCTCCCCTTAGACCAGCCGACCGCCCAGCCCCGAATCTTACACCCAGACCCTGTCCTGCAAGGGAGGGGTCGGCAGGGGGGGAGGCAGCTGCGCCCGAGCTGACAGCCGGGGCTCTCCTCTTATTCCCCCTCGGCAGCAGCGGCGGTGGCGGCGGCTGCAACAACAACAGCACCAGCAGCTTCAGCAGGGCAGAAAGGCAAAGAAAATGAGGCGAAGCCAATGGGCCAGAGTGGCCGCAGCGAGCGCGCCCCCCCCGGACCTCTCCAGCCCCCGTGCGCCCGGGCGCGCGGCGCCGGCTAGACCGTGCGCCCCTCCCCGGCCCCCCACTCACCGCTGCCGAGCCGTGCGCTCTGGGGTGGGTGTGCGTGCCTGTGGGGGTGTGTGTGTGTCTGTGTCTGGGAGGGGTGTTGTGGTGGAACTGTTGCTCTCGGTATTACGGCGGCGGCGGCGGCATAGCCCGGCAGTTCGCAGTACCCGCTCTCATCGCCCTTAACTCCTCTGTGCTGCGAGGTTAGCAAATCACCACCGGCTGCGGCGCCTCCGCCGCGTTCCACGTCAACGCCGAGCCCCCTCCCCTGCGAGGCCCCGGCGCCTCTCCATCTTTAGTGCTGGCGGCCGAGCGCGGCTCCCTGCCCACAGCTGCCCCCCTTCCTCCCTCCCTCGCCCCCCCTCCCCTCCCCGTGCTCAGCCCTCCCACCCCCTGTGCTGGCCGAGCCGGGCGCTCCTCCGCCGTCCCCTCCCCTCCCTGCTGCTCTCCCGGCTCCGGGCTTTGCCTGACATCTAGCTGCTGCTGGGGCGGCAGCGCGAGCCGCTCGGCTGCCTGGGGAAGAGGGGACCTGGAGGACGGATTGGGAAAAGTGGGGGTCCTTGAAAGAGGGAAGAAGAGAAGGAAGCCAGAGAAACACCGTCCTGCTTTGGACACCCCCTTTCGGTTTTTGCTTTTTATGTTATAGCGTCTCACTCCCAGCCGCCCACCCTTCTAGGCTCGAAGTTTTCTCCCAGTTTGTGGACGCGCCCCAGTCAAGAATGTGCCTGACCCTTTTCCCCTCAATTCAGGGTATCAAGCATAATTTCCCCCAACCCTGCATCCCTAGTTTCTGTTTCTAACCAGTTTGTGGGGTGTTCTTCCCCCCTCTCGCTCCCCTGCTCTCTCTCCGATCCTCCAGGGTTGCAAAGCTGTCTTCCAGAGCAGATTTTTCTTGGTGGGCAGTGGAAGGGCAGCAGGTGGAGATCGCCGAATAGGGGAGGGGGGGCGGGGTTCACGGAACCCCTGCCTAATTTTTCCGACCCCGATCCTTCGAGGAGCAAGAGTAGTTCGGCGCCAGAGGAAAACTTGTGACTCTGCAGCAGCGTATCTCTGGGTCTCTAGCCGGGGAGAGATGTTTTCTAGGCTTCCTCCCCCCAACCCTCACCAATCCACCGTCGGAGCAGCGCAAATTGCTTGAGATGATACTGACCCAGAAAAGTCGGCCCCCATTTCCCCAGATGGCGCCCTAGTTCCTTAGGGGACAAGTTGAGACCATAACCCAGTATTGGGCAGACAATGGTAGTAAATCTGGTCCCTCCGCGAAGGTTCGCATACACCCCTCAATCCCTGGCCTCCCCTTCCTAGTACCCTTTGGATAATTTGGTGAGAGACTTGCCGAGGGCCAAGAAGGGGGAGCGGTACCTGGGGTCTCCTGCTGAGACTGCTGACAGTAAATATGGAGTAGCAAGTGATGGGAACTGGCGCCCCCAAATATGCTGAAGCTAGGAAGGGGAGTGCACTGCGGGTCCCGAGGAACCTGGACATCTCAGACCTAAGGTTGAAGGGGTGCTAGCAAGGCGAGCACGCTGCCCCACGGCTGTATGCACCTTGGATAGGTTTCGCGCGAGGAGCGCCTCCCCACGATCTGTTGTCGACACGCGTGTGAATGGAGCCGGGTCATGGATTTTATTTTTTTACCCAGGATGCATACATACAGACATATACACATTCGTGGTCTCCGAACCCTATACATCGAGCCTAGGTCTCTTGCTTCCACAGTGCAGGGAAACAAAAGGGAACAGAGGAAGAAAGGCGGACAGAAAGATAAAAATCCAGAGCCTAAACAGCCCCCACCACCACCCTCCCAGCCCCTGGGTTCTTTTCAACTCTGGAGTTTACTGATATCTGGACCCTAGTGGGCTTCTTCAAGGTCAGCAACCCTGAAGCAGACCCGAATTGGCCTCATCCTGGTCTTCTGCTTGAATCTAGGTACCATAAGAATAATACTAAAACATTTTTGTAGAGCTTTAAGGTTTACCAGGCACTTCCAGCATAGTCCGAAATTAGAAAATCCGGGTTAAAAAAACATCCCATCCTCTTTCTCCTCTTACAAGGCAGGCAGAGAAGCGAGGCTTTCTAAATAAGAATTGGGAAGTGATCAGATGGAAGAAGAGGATCAGTTAAAGATTTAAAGATTAAATTTCATTAGACTGTTGGTTGAATTGAATTGACTATCATTCCTTAGACTGCATTACAGTAATACAGGTAATATCAAATTATATCGTTAATAATAGTGGTGTATTGATGTTAACACTGTTTTATAATTCAGGGTACTGCCCACTAATAAAAACGTGTCCCCTCGTTCTAGCAAAAGTTGGCGGGTTGGGTGAGAGTGAATGGAGGAAGGGTTTAAACTGGAGAGCTAATAACACAATGGTGAGTGAAAAGGCAAGGAAAAAGAGAGAGAAATGCACCTTCACTGACTTGGATTTCATTGACTGCAGCCACAGAAAAAGAAGACACCTTCCCCATCTCCCTTTAAAAAAAAAAAGACTTGTTGAATTCACTGATACTGCCTAGCTGCAATTGGAAATAAGTATCTAGATGTCCCCATTCACTCAACCACATTTTAAAAGCAGAACCGCCTGAAAAACACGTAATTAACCCCAGATCCTAATCTCCCATTAATCCTCAAATCAGCAAAGGAGAGAATCACTAGAAACAATAGACAAGTGAGAACAATCTCACCCCCATTTCTTTTCCATTCCCCCACCTCCTCCCCAAATTCACTTTATGTGAAAAATCTCCCTTGCTTCATAAACTCTGCCCTTTAAAAAGCCTAGCCCTTGTTAGTAAGTGTTAAAAAGAGATTAATGCCTGAATTTAAGAGGTAGAGAAGGTAACAAAAAGAGAGAGGCAAGAGAGCCTGTGGGCTAGGTGCCAGCTTTGGGCTGGAAGGCAGCATTTCCACTTAGCACTGAAGGCTGGCTGCACAGCAGTTTGATAAGGTTTATTGGGCCCAGATAAAGCAGCAATTCCTCCACCAGAATCTCAACCATTTACAGCTAGAGCTGTGTCCTTGGGTCCCAGGGATGCTAATGAGAGTCCCCAGTTCAGAGATTTCTGTGTGGCAGCATCTCAAAACAAAAAGGATGGAAATTTGTTAACATCGAACTATCTTCTTCATTTAATGATGCTGCATTTGTAAGATAGTTGCCCTTTCCTTGAATATGGGTAATAGAGGAAGCCTGATTCATCTCTCTAGGTCCTTAAAAACAGAAGCAATGCGGTAGGTACAGTGTAAAAATCACTAGATTTCAAGCCAGAAGTTATGATCCCATCTCTTCAAGGAGCTAATGGTGTCACCTTGGGCAAGTCACAATACTGAATCTAGAGCAAAAGGACCTGGGTTCAAATGCTACTTCTGTCACTTACTGTTTGGGCAAGTTACTTAACCTCTCTAGGGCTCAATATCTTCATCTGTAAAATAAGAGACTTGGCCTAGATAACCTCAAAAGTCATAGGACCATAGATTTTGAACTAGAATGGACCTCAGAGGCCAGCTAGTTCTATTACCTCATTTTTTCAGATAAGGAAACAGGCCTAAGGAGGTTTAAGTGACTTGCCCAAAGTCATAATAAAAGTAGTAACCACCAAAGGCAGGATTTGAACCCAACTCCTTTTGTTCCAAATCCAGTGTTCTTTTCCATCCATAAATCAATGATCTCAAAGCACCTCCGCTTTCTGGGCCTCAGTTCCCTCATTTGTAAGATGAAGATGTTGGACAAAATAATCTCAAAGGTATCTTTCAGCTCTAACTCCTCTGTCTCTAGGATAGATTCCCAAAGACCAGGCATAGATTAGGTATGGTCATGCCTAGAGGCAGAGGAATAGATGAAATGAACTTTCTTCAGTCACAAATTTATTTTTTTCTCATTTGCCTTTACTTGAAACACACATTTAAAGGGCTGTGGCTTAGCTTGCCAGTGTTCTAGCTGTTGAGCAGAGGGATGTAAGAGGCAACTAGGCAAAGTAGATAGAGTGTCAGGCCTGGAGTCCTCCTGAGTTCAAGTCTGACCCCAGAGACTCACTAGCTGTGTGACCCTGGGCAGGTCACTTAACACTGTTTGCCTCAGTTTCCTCATCTGTAAAATGAGCTGGATAAGGAAATGGCAAAATACTCTAGTATCTTTGCAAAGAAAACCCCAAATGAGAACAACAAAATGTGAGAGGTAATTATAATAACTCAATTATAGATAGAGTCTGATTTACATTTTCCTCATCAAGCCCAAGAGGTAAATAAACAGTATGTTACTCTTCTTTCTTTACAGATGAGGAAACTGAGAAAGTTATGTTAATAAGGGCCAGATCCAGTTTGCCATGTTGCTTCTCAGACAAAGAGAATTCAGAAATGGTAAGCAGAAGGGCTGGAAGTAAACGCATTCAAGATAAGTTTTTGCTCTAGTCCCTCACTCCTTTTTAGCTCATAGGCCAAATCAACACACATATAGCCAAATATAAGGGGAAAATAGTTATTAATGGAAGTAGCCCACATAGAAACCTGGCTGAACCATTCAAGACACAGACCCTAGGAGACATGGTAGATCGAATGTTCCTCTTGGAGTCACAAAGACTTGAGTTTGAATCCCATCTGTTGTATGCTCCCTAGCTTACACAGAGCCAGTCTGTGCCACTCTTTGATTTTGACTTTTAAAATGAGGTCTCAATGGCCTCTAGTATCTCTTCAAGCACTAAGTCTACGAACCTATGATCTCCGCATTTCTTAGATAATTCAGGCAAAAGGCAGAAGGGAATTTTAAACCAATTAGCCATCGTGCTTGGGAAATGGGCTATGATACTGAATTACATTTTCTGGTAAATTGAAGGTTGAATACTGCAACCTTTTCAGTTTCAAGACTTCTGGTTAAATGACTTGCTAAAAAAAAATCAGTTATTTTTTTCCTGCCTTAGTAATTAGAGAACATCCTTTTTTTCCCTTTTAAATAGTATTTTTATTTTTCCCAATTTCATGGAAAGACAATTTTAACATTAATTTTAAAATAAAATTTTGAGTTTCAAATTTTCTCCTTCCCTCCCTCCTTTGCCTTCCTCCTCTGAGGTAAGCAATTTGAGATAGGTATTTTGTAGAGCACATCTTTTTATAAAAAGCTACATTTCATTTCCAGATTCAGCTTTATAGCCTTCAGCACCTAGCACCATTCTTTGCATATAGTAGATACTTGATAAATTTTTAAATTGAATGATGTAGGATCTGGCAGGGTCCCTTTGGTCATTATTGTGAATAACAATGTGGAAAGTGTAGATCATTAAGATCAATAGAATTTACCCAAATTTATCTTAAAAATTTCAGTTTATCTT